AATGTAGTCGGTGGTTGAAACACATCGAATTAGATGAGTCGTAATTGGTCACAAAAGGACATATGTCTTTATTATTTATTATTAGGAACGATGGCTTAGTCAGTGGTTAAGCTGCTGAACTTTCCTCCATGAGCAAGTTTGAAACTTGCCTTATAATACTTCGGTTTGCAAAACAGGATATTACTTTTAGTTGAGACATATGAAGTGTGGTTCGAAACCATTTATGTGTATCTGTACCCAATAGTTGAGTTAATACTAAGTTTTATCTTCCTTCAGATCTTAAGTTTTAGTACTCTTTCATAATTATCTTCATCGTATTCATAAGTTATTCTAACTGTTGGCTACCCCCAAATGCCTTGCCGTGGCTGAGGGTGTGGGGAGGGTCATCTCTCCGTCTCTTCAATTCCTCTCATATGGCCACATATACATAGCCATTACCAGAGAAGTCTTACTACCTTCTCACGGTGAGAGTGTTCACTACGAAATTGTGAGAATAGAAAGTGAATATCCCGGTACTTAGACCGGGTTTGTGGGTACGAAGAATCGACCTAGAGGAGTTGTAAAACTATGATACCAAACCAATGATGCACATTGGTATCAGGAACTTGAAGAAACAAATAGTGTATAAACTTATTCTTGTTGATCGACTCGAATGAAACCTAATCTCCCAACATCGCTCCGTTACTTTGTATATTAAATCTATGGGTCTAAGTCTTGGGAAGCGGTCTCTTCAGAAACTCACCTGTTTTGATTTAGGCCCTCACAGATATCGAGTGATTTGTATGGAGTATATGTATTTAGTGCCTTTGTGCACTAATGTTTATATGTTGAAGTAAATAAATAACTGTTGACCAAGTTATTTACTTATCAACTAGAGTTATTTTAGAATTTTCAATGATTTCGTAGCCTTATTACATTGAACACAGGTGTGTTTGTGTACATAAACGATAGTTTTGACATTTACGACAACAAAAAATGGTGCCGAATAGTCAGATGTATTAATAATCAATTGTAATCTAACTTGTTAGTTTTAACACTTATAGTTCATTATAATGAACTGGTTAGTTATTTACTCATTTATCAAACTAATAATATCAAGTACCTACATACATGGATTTGTTTAAGTTACTTAATATATATACGTGTATGGAAAACCTGGAAGCATTGGACGACCGTTAGGCCCTAGTATGGGGCTCCTCAGCAGTGCGCGTACACGATCCCCCCTCTCGAGTTTCGAACCCAGGACCTATCAATCTCGCGTGCGAGCGCTTAACCATTAGACCACTAAGCCGGCCGACATCCAACCTTGGTAATGTCTAACTTTAACTTCATGTCTCCACAAAACCCCTTCTGATAACCTTTAAAATGTAATCTAGTTAAGGGAAAATATTAATTCGAGTAAATTTTGTTTATTCAATTATTTTGTAATGTTTCAAATAGTTTCTATTATACTCATTACTAGTTCCGGTTACACTAATCAATAGAATTCATTGAATTGTTTATTGTTATTGAACTGATTGATCAGTTTTATTACTCACAAACCAGAAGTGGCGACTTTTTTGATAATTCTACAATCAGTATAGGATTGTGGAGATTATTAAGTTTTTGATCCAGATCATGAGCCAATTGATGTTAGACTAACATTGAAAATCTGGAAGCACTAAATCCCCTAGGTTCGGATCCTGCGAGCGAAATTGGGGATACGCAGTGCTGAGGAATCCCACAATAGAACGAAACGGTCGTCCAATGCTTCCAGGTTTCCAGTGGTGGTCTCACATCCAACAGCTGAAGTCGTCAACATTAAGATAAAACAAGAATCAGCGCTATCCGACAAATCGTTCAAGAGATGTGAAGGTAAAATTTGACCTCAACAATTCTGCATCTCGTTTGTTCCAAGCAAGAGCGCATGTCGCCCGCCACATAATAATAGAACACTGATAACGATCGTTTAGTTATTCAAGATAATGGCTTGGGAAGCATTAAATTGGAATTTTAAAAAATTATTTTCGCTTCTAGTCAAAATTTATCCGTAGCCTCGCGTAAACGTCTGGTCCTTAAGGGAGTTCAATACATATCACTTGGCAACATTCTAGCTCGAATTGAGCCTTTTTATATAAATGGATTATATCTTTTTCTTGATTAGGTCACTAACTCCATTTTCTTGTTTGTTCACAAAAATGCTAGGACTGGGCACATGTATTTGTCATACAGTAAGATTTTATGAATGAAATTTTTTATATGGTTCCTAAGCCAGTTGACCAATAGTCTCTAAATAACTACAGTGTGTCGCGATACCGAGTTACGCTTATCTGAATTGTCACGTTGTATGGGAGTAGATTGAAAGAATTCAACTGATACTGTAGACTAAACAGGACAAAAATTTTACTTACTTACTTACTTCTGTTACCCCTAGTGGGGAGGAGCCTCCCACCAGCATTCTCCACCGAACTCTGTCCCGGGCAATTCTTTCCAATTCTCGACCTAGTGTCTTTTGGCTTTCCTCTTTTCTCTTTTACTTCAACATTCCAAGTTAGCGCTTAATTCGTGATGTAGTTTGGTGATTTCCATAATGTAGTTCTTATCCACTTCCATCGTCTTTTCTTAATTACATCTTCATCCCACACTAGACTGTTGCTGATGCTATCTGGTCAATGGACATTGAGTTTCTTGCGTAAACAATTATTTATAAATACCTGTACTTTTTTTCTGACGACAGTTCTAGTAGTTCTCCACTTTTATCGCCGGTCCCAAACCTGGGTAAAGGAGGAGGGTTAGGGATGGAGTCAACAGCCCTATCCCGTAGAAAACAACATTGTTAAAAAAAATAATAATTTCAACTCCATTAATGAACTAATATTACAATTTAACTGGTTGAAATCATGAGTCAGTTGAAGCTAGACCACTATGGAAAACCTAAAAGCAATGGATGGTCGTTTCGTCCTGGTATGGGACTCCTCAGCAGTGCGCATCCACGATCTCGCCCCCCGCGAGATTCGAACCGAGGACCTATCGATCTCATACGCGAGCGCTTAACCATTAGACCACTAGGCCGGCATCCAACGGTGTTAATGTCTAACTTCAACCAATCGACGAAGTTGAGGAGTCCCACACTAGGACGAAACAACCGTCCAGTGCTTCCAGGTTTTCCATGGTGGTCTAGCTTCAACTGACTCATGATTTCAACCAGTGAAATTTCTAAAAATCTCCACAAAACCCATTCTGATAATAATATTACAATTGTTTATAAGATATATCATGTGTATCATATTGTGTTAAATACGAGATTAATGTCAAACACCATACAACATGTCATTTCATCAACAAACAACGTCAATTCATTACACACAATTAAGGACACTACATAAATCTATCAAAGAAAATAACAGTAACAGGATTTTCAAATGAATAAATAAGTATAATGGTTGTTATGATGGTTTTGTTTTTCATTGTATAACATTAAAAGTACAAAGAAAAAGGGATAGAAACAAGAAGAAAGGAAGTTGGTTAAAATTAGGTCATAACAAACGTTTAGTAAATTGTTGTGTTGGTTTATTTTCTGAGAAAAAAAAATCATAAATCAGTTTATTAATTAATGGTTTTAATAGTCAATCATTGATAGTAGTAGATTAACAAAATATTGCACTAAGCTATTCGATAATAGCTTTCATTTGGTATTGAAACAGGACACGTATTGCTGACGAGTCGCATACTAGGACGAAACGGTCGTCCAGGTTTTTCATGGTAGTCTAGTTTCAATTGATCCATGACATTCACTATTAAAATATTATAATTTCCACGAAAAACCCTTTTGTGACATTAATCATTAGGTATTTTTTGTTTAAATCTTCCCATTGATGATCAGTCTCTTATTGGTATATATGCATCCTGTGCGAATCGCCTCGATATTGCCTTAAGTCACAAGCATTGTAAGCAAAGACGGATGGTGGCTATCAGGACTCAGTAGCTAAGTGGATAATGTGATAGAGTTTGAAGCGAATGATACTTGGTTCGAGTCTCGAAATGAACATCAACTCTGGGCTGCAGATACATCCAGCTGATGAGTTCTAAACGTTACGTAACGCTCGTCCTGGATTCCACTGCTAGACACCATCCATGTTTGCTTTTTTGACAACAGTTCACGTCTGTTATGCACTTTTGTGTCCATACAATACTTGGTATCATTTTATCGAGCGTAGCTGAGTTAGTGTCATTTTTTCTTAATTTTTCATCATTTTTAACCAACCAAACAACTAAATCTAGTTCTGCCAAGACTTTGACAATGTCAGAGTATGTTTTTTTCTTCCAGACAAAAAGAGCCTTTGTTCGGATTAAATTTAGCTCAATAACTCACAGACTAATTTCATCAGTTTCGACTGTTTACACTACAGTTAGCAATATCATCCAAAACATCCCTTACACTTGTATCTAACTGGATTATAATACGTTTTATCGGTTTTCATAGTAATTACAGTAATCATTTTTTTTGTTCATCAGACAAACTGCGAAACTCTCTTAGTGTATTAAACTAGAGGTCAAATCTGAGAAACATGTTTCAAACGGTCAATATTACTAAAACATTGTGATTTCTTTTAGCTAATAAATTTCTCCATTGCTAATTTGGTGTATAAATGCACTAATTAAGGATCATAATGCTTAATATGAGTGTGTGTTTTATTTTCAAGAATAATTTATTGATTTTAATAGTTGAGATCATGAGTCCATTGAAGCTAGACCACCATGAAATACATGGAAGCACTGGATGGTCATTTCGTCCAATTGTGGAACTTTTCAGCAATGCGCATCCACGATCATACCCCCCCCCCCAGATTCGAATCCAGGACTAATCAGCCTCGTGCGCAAACGCCTAATCTCTAGACTACTAAGCCGATCGGTATGAAATGGTGTTAATGTTTAACTTCAACCAATCCACCAAATTGAGTGACACATTCACCATTGTTTTCAGTAAGTTACTATCTCACAAAAGATCTGGTTGAACTTCACTAGTCACTACTTCTCCCTAGAACTCCAGGATATAGCTCTTGGAGACAGTAGCTAGTGAGAATGTGCTGATTAGTGTCAGAAGGAGTTTTTGTGGATAGTATAGTAATTTTAATAGTTGAATGGTTGTATTCATTGATTGATCTAAGCTAGATCACCATTGAAAACCTGAGAACATTGAACGGACGTTTCGTCTTAGTATAGGACTCTTCAGCAATGTGCGTCTACGATCTCGCACCTGAGCGAGTCTTGAGTCAATTGAAGCTAGACCACTATTGAAAACTCGAGAGCACTGGACGGCTTTTCCGTCCATAAAAACTCCTGATATATTCATGTTGAATATTCAATCAATGGACAATTTAAACATGAACGACAATGAATGATATCATGTTCACTACACTGTTGAGGTTACTGTGATAAGACTTGATATCAGCTATTTGATTTAAGCTAATTTCGTGTTCGTACTATTCTCTTATAATGTCTATATATGCAAACAGAACTCGATCAATTAATGATCTTGAACGTTAACACTACGTTTGCTTTCTTTTATCTTTTCATTTCAGAATTAACATTTTTCATACAATATGGTTGCTTCAGAATTTCTCGGTTATATTCAATCATTTTCTGTATGTAACTTTGTTGGATTTGAAGATTTAGCTGATCGAGCAAATTTTCAATGGAATGTTATTGTACTACTACTATGCATGGTTTTAGTAACAATGAGACAATATTTTATGACTCCATTAGTGTGTTATTTACCGACAACAGTGAGTGGAGTCAATGCAGATTCTTATATTACTAATCTGTGTTGGATTGAAGGGACATTTCCTATTAATTTAACATCTGGGATTGTACCACACAAACTACAGGAATGGGATGCACTTCGACCGCAACAAATGAGTATGTTTGATCATTTTAACATTTGTTTAGTTGTTCATAGTAGAAATGATGTATGTAGAGTGTTCTAAATATCCATTAAATATAAGTAGCTTCAGAGAATGCTTCTCCCACACGTGGAGTTAAATAATTCTTACTATAAATGATGTTTGTTAAAGATAAAGGAAACCTTCCAGTTAATCTTAACGGCAATGTTTTTTCACATTAAAACACCGAGATTGATCTAACTCCAAAAAATCAGAACTCCGTAAAAGTAAACACAAGTATGCAGACCCATCCTGAAGTCATCATAAATCATAAAAGCTTCACATTCGTCGCCACCTACGGCCAAGAATAAGTTCATAAACAGTTTGTTTCCCCATGTTCCTGATGTAGATATGCACCAGTGGTTTGGAATCATAGATTCCGAACTCCTCCGAACCAACCCGACTTAAGTACCGAATTTTCACTTTTCCTTCTCTCAATTTCGTGGTGAATACCCTCACTGTGAGAAGGTAGTGTGTAGAACTTCTCTGGTAATGGTTATGTATATGTGGCCATATGAAAGGAATTGGATTAGATTAAATTTTTCTCATTGTCATCATTGTCATAGCTACCTTGATTTTTCGTCTTGATAACATTTTCTTATTATTTTAATGTGACGTATGGCAACTTGATTTAATGTATTGAGTTAATTATTGAATCGATGTTAAAGACTATCTTATGTCCTGGTACGGCCGAGGGTGGGAATAGTCAGCTCTCCCTCTTCAAATGCTCTCACATGGCCACGTACATACCACCGCTGCCAGGGAACTCCTATTCACTGCATTCTCACGGGGCAGAGCGTTGTTTACGAAATTGAGAGGACGAAAATCGAATGTCCGGTGCTTTAACCAGGTTGGTGGATACGGAGGATCCATCCAGGGGGGTTGGAGAACCCTCATCACAAACCAACGATGTACATGGGCTGCAGGATCCTAAGGGAAAAATGGCGTATTAGCCTATTGTTGGTGACCGGATGCCATGGGTCTGCATCTCCTCACGTTGCTCCACTGCTCTATGGATCAGATCTTTAGGTCGAAAGCTCGGATGTGGCCACATAAGAAAACCACCGGCTTCAGTTTGGATACCTGGGAAGTATCCCAGCCCTCACACAAATCGAGTGATTTTTGTGGTGCATGTGTATTCGGTACCTCCTTGTACCAATGTTTGTATGTTTAAATAAATAACAATAAGTTACTCGAGTGAAGTGTCATGAAAATTACGGCGCTATAGACTTGTATTAATCTTTCATGCTATTCTATTTTACATTCTTATCTGAATGTTGGAATCTCTGTTGTAAGCAAAATTAGTCAGTTCAGAATCTCAATGCATATATCAATTACTGGATTGATTAAAAGTTTTAAGCCATAAAATTTGATTGCATTCAGATTATCTCGTTATTAATAGTTTAACTGAATTCTGATCAGTTTTATTTGATCTCTATGCGGATTGATTCGATATAGTCATTATATCATAAGTTTACGTAGAACAGATGGAATATAGCTAGCAGTAGAATTAATGAAGTATGCTTCGTCCCGTTTGGTACTGGATATATATCTAAATTCAAGAGTTGATATTTGTTGCTTATTTGTTTGACTTTTCAATGTATAAAATCTTTTATGGTAGGCGATTCGACTAATATATATTATTATTATATCATTCCTAAATTTCACTGCTAAATTACAAATCAATATACTTTATTTAAGTAGTATTGGTAGTAGTTTATTTATTTATTTGAACACATAAGCATTGATACAAGGAGGCACCACATAGATATGCGCCACATAAATCTCATTTAATTTTTGTGAGGGCTATGATACTGCCCGGGTGCCCAGAACGAAGTAGGTGGTTCACTTAGGCGGTTACACCCGGAGCCTTTGGCCGAAAGGTCTGATCCACAAGACAGTGGAGCAAGATGAGGAAATGCAGTGCCATGGTAGCCGTTGACCATCGATTGGTCCATACGCCATTTGTTCCCTCAGGATCCTGTAGCCGATGTGCACCATTGGTTTGGAATGAGGGTTTTTGGACTCACCGTGTCGACCAACCCGGTTAAAGCACCGAACACTCGCTTTTCGTCCTCTGAATTTCATAAACAATACCCGCGGTGTGAGAATGCAGTGAGTAGGACTTCCCTGTCAGAGGCTATATGCACGTGGCGATGTGAGAGCATTTGGAGAGGTAGAGCGAACTCTCCCTACTCTCAGACTTACCACGGCATCCGGGGGCATTAATAATAATAATAGTAGTGGTGGTAGTTAACAAACACAAATGATTTGTTTTACCTTTTTAAAGAAAATCTGTTTTCTAAGAAAACTAACTATTAAATTGTTGCTTGACTACTAATTCTTTTCCTTTCTGTTTAACAAAAAGATACTTGATTTATTGGGAAAAACCTAAGATTACCGTAATGATTGTAGACTACTGAAGCAGTCAGGAATTTGATAATTACAATTTAAGCACGTTATTAAATGATTGTCGATCGATTAAATTAGTGTTATTTAATCAATATCAATACCTTTCAATTTTGTTTGTTTGTTATTTCATGTATTGGCACAAATATACGGGCACACTTATTATGTACCTTGAGAGAGTATTTCTTTATTGCTTTCATTCTAATTTAACTACCAGCACATTATGGTTCATACTGAATTCTCTTTGGGTATATTCTAATAAATCAACACTAACTGCCGATATAAAGAGAGACACCAATTTTATATCGGTTCATGTTTGTTAGGTAGTGTTTTTGTTTTGTTTTGTTATGTTTCGTTTGTTTGTTGGTTTATTACATTCTGTTGGTCTCATGTCAATATATGCGTGTGTGTGTGTGTATGTGTATGTGTCCATGCGCATGAACGTGTGACTAAATCTATCTTATGAAGTAATTCAGTAGTTTGGTTCCTGATTAAGATCATTATTGATTTGAATTTCAACAGTTATGTTATAAATTTCAAATAATCCACTCATATCGAGTTGAACAGTTGAATAGAATCATCAATTGTAAGTTATTAGAACTCTAGTTCTCATCGGAGTACAGAAGTTTGTATCGTGTAACATAGTTGGATATCTTCTAATGAGAAGAACACTTGTATGATTCAATACCCTGAACTTGATTACAGTTCTCAGCGCTAAATTTGCAAAATTGCAATAAATTTTCTGTTTTACAGGCATTTAACGAGTGTATATTCAATATATATATGCTCATATTGGCATCTCTATCTCTGAATACACAGTAATCACCTCTTATTTGTCTTAAAAGACATCGAAGGAGTAAAGTATACGGAACACCGTAGTGGAACATGTTGAATCACTCAATAATTATATTTCATGAAGTTGCATTATTACAAGTTTTTATTATACATAATTAGTAAATAAAAAATAAATTGGTCATATGAGAAGTCGTTTGATAATTAGGAATTCATGCACTACTCATGTGTTTATTAATCAATTTCGGAGATTTATGAAGATTGTAATATCTTGAAAGTTGAATTCACGAGCCAATCTAAGCTAGACCACCACCATTGAAAACGTTGGAAGCATTGGACACAAGATCATGGATCGATTGAAGTTAGACATTAACACTGTTGTATGTTGGCTCAGCAGTCTAAAGGTTAAGTGTTCGGGCACAAGACTAAAGGTAATGGGTTCGGTCATTGCTTGCAAGATAGTTGGTGTGCATTGCTGAGGAGTCCTGTACTAGGAGGAAACAGCCGTCCAGTGCTTCCAGGTTTTCAATCGTGCTCTAGCTGAGATCAATTCATGAATTCAACTTTGAAAGTATGTCATTATTGTTAAATAGTCATTGTCTATTACTAAATTTCATTTGTATTAGATTGAATGATGAGGAGGTAGGTTGTAACAGATGAAATTGTAGATTTTCAATGTACTTCTGTTCATGTTTGTTCTGAAATGTTGTGGTGGTGTAAACACATGTTGTAAAACGCTAATCAACTTGAGATAATGGAGAAGATTTTTAGCTCAGATGGAGTTTTGTTTTCTGAACTGAATGGTTTGGTCATGGAGCTTATATTGTTCTTTTGAAGAACATTATTCAAGCAAACTACAGGTTAAAATGGAATATTCTTATTTCTTCATATAGGATTCACAGTTTATCCTGTTGACTTCAATCTTGATTGTTTATTGTTAACCTTTTCACCTATTATTATCTGACTCTTTATTATGATTGTATTTCCTTTTGGTTCGGTGTTTAGCTTCATTATTGTTAATGCCTTTTTCTTATTGACTGATAAATCAAATCGATTTCAATGTGTTTGTTGATTACTGATTGACCTAATAGGAATACCAAGCTTCTAGAAATTCGTGTTCTTAGCATTTTTTTACTAGTTGAATATTGTCCATATACATTGATATAAGCGAAGATATATCATGGCGTTTGATAGCTAATTGATATTCACGCAGGCGAAGATGAGGGGGCAGGGACATTCATTGGTATCATGTTGTCTAATAGTTAATTTTTTCCACTACTCTGCTTTTCAATTACTATAATATCCACAAAACCCCTCTTTCATTATAATCAATATATGCTCACTAGTTACTGTTTCCAAGAGCTGTTTCATAGAGTTCTAATGAGAAACAGTGACCAGTGGAGTTCAACCAGATCTGTTGTGAGATAGTAACTTACTGAAAACAATGGTGAATGTGTCGCTCAATTGTGTGGATTATCTGAAGTTAGACATTAACATTATTGGATACCGATCAGCTTAGTAGTCTAGAGATTAAGCGTTTGCGCACGAGACCGATTAGTCCTGGATTCGAATCTGGCGGGGGCATGATCGTGTATGCGCATTGCTGAAAAGTTCCACAATTGGACGAAATGACCATCCAGTGCTTCCATGTATTTCATGTTGGTCTAGCTTTAATTCACTCATGAATTCAACCATTAAATTTACTAATAATATCCACAGAACCCCTTCAGATGAAAGGTAAGGTTGCTCGTATGTTAATGAGTTAACTGTTCGTTACATTTTTGATATTTTTACTTTTATATTTCTATAAATCAATATTGTTTATCTAAATGATTGTTTCTCTTCTTTTTCTTTTTTCTTTTTTCTCTTTTCTCTTTTTTTTCTTCTTAGATTATTATCAATGGGTACCATTAGTATTAGGTTTACAAGCTATTCTATATTATATTCCACGTATTATATGGAGTATATTCACCTATAATCGTACTGGTACAGATTTACAAAATTTAATACGTCAAGCTAATTTAATTACTAAAGAAGATGGTGAAAAACGTCAAAAAATGGTACAACATATTGCTAAAACATTAGAATTATTATTATTTAATCGTCGTGAATATCGTACAATGGATACATTGAATCATCATTCATTTCGTCGGTCATTATCATTTATGCCTGGTAAACGTCATGGCAACAATTTAATTTATGTTTATTTAACTATTAAATTCTTATATTCAATTATTGGCTTTTTCCAATTATATTTAATGTATTTTTTTTTACGTTTTAATTCATATGAAGGTTATTGGTTATTTGGTTATCGTTTATTAACTGATATTATAAATGGTAAACAATGGACAGAAACACAAATTTTTCCTAGAGTCGGTATGTGTCGGCATACACTACAACATGTCGGTGCTAGTAATACATTATTTGCACAATGTGTATTACCAATTAATATGTTAAATGAAAAAATTTATATTTTTTTATTTTTTTTTCTTGGTTCCATTATGTTACTAACTATATTGAGTATACCATTATGGTTATATCGTATGGGTTTAAAACAACGTCAAAGGCATTTTATTAAAAGATTTTTAAAAATTGCTGATGTTTATGATCGTAATGATCCTAAAATGGCATTACTTACCGATCGTTTTATGAATGAATTTTTAAGAAAAGATGGACATTTTATATTACGTATGTTATCAATGAATGCTGGTGATTTAATTACAGTAGAAATTGTATGTAATTTATTTGCGGATTATAAAAAACGGTTTATCGGTATTGATTTTCGTGGTCCACCACCACCACCACCAAAATTACATAATAATAAATATCATGATTTTGATGGTTATATTACTACAGCAACAACAATACCAGCACAACAACATTCAAATGATATAATCAAATTAAATAATCTTGATAAAAATCCATCTGGTTTTATAAGATTAGAAGAAGGTGGTACAGCGAATTTACGTCAACGACCAGCAATTCCATCTGCACCAATTTATTCAGAGAATTCAATTCCACCAGCATATCAATATGCAACTAGTATAAAAGATTCAGAAATTTATCCATTAAGTATTGTACGAAATATGCCACGTGATACTACTACTACTAATACACCAATGGAAACGAACACTAATGTTACTAATTCAAATCAATATACTCCTAAAAAAATTGATGATAATATTATTGTTCATGAAAAAGAACAATTGAATAAAGTTCCACAATATACTCCAACGGAAGTATAATCTTTTGAATACATTTATTACTAGGATGGGGGAGGGGAAAGTGAAAGTGTAGGGGGGGCGTGTTTGTGTGTATGTGTGGGTGGATGAATGGATGGATGCATATAAATAATCCAATGTGTGTGTGTGTGTGGTCACTTCTTAATTTGATGGCATATCTTACGTGATTGTTTAATCATTGTTAATAAATTATAGTAAATGATTATGTTGGTTATTCCATTTGTAATCTTTATGTACTCTATGTCTATGTTATATAATGTGAATAACAAACGTTTTTTTTGTTTTGTTCATATGTTCATTTTTGACTATTCTTCTTGTTTGTTAGACATTAAACATTGTAATTACTATATACTATGTGTTCCCTCATTTCTCTTCTGTTTTTCTTTTTGTATACGAACTTTGTTTGGTTTGGTTTTTCTAAAAAAAATTTTTGTAACATTCGTTTTGATGTATGTTTTTTTTCACAGTTTTTGAAATCATGAGTCAGTTGAAGCTAGACCACCATTGAAAACCTGGAAGCACTGGACGGCCGCTTCGTCCTGGTATGGGACTCCTCAGCAGTGCGCATCCACGATCCCGCACCACGCGGGGCTCGAACCCAGGACCTACTGGCTTCGCGCGCGAGCACTTAACCACTAGACCACTGAGCCGGCATCCAACGGTGTTAATGTCTAACTTCAACCAATCCACGAAGTTGCGCCACCGTACACCATTGTCTTCAGTGAGTTGGTCTCTCACAACAGACCGGTTGAACTCCACTGGTAACGGCTTCTCACTAGAACTTCAGGAGTTTTTCCTGAAGTCAGTCACTAGTGAGCAGTTGATTATTATTATTATCAGAATGGGTTTTGTGGAGAATTTTAGAATTTTCACAGTTTTTTTCTTCTACATTTTTAGATACACAACTGGTTAATGGTTTAAAAAGTGATGTAACTGTCTATGTGTTTGCGATGATTATGAAGGTTTACTTTAAGTTGTTGTTAAGTTCATGATTTAAATTTAGGAGTATACTGAATGTCAGTTACGTTCTAGTATAGAATTCCTTGATGTTTTAGGAATATTGAATCTACAATCTTCAGTTCTTGTATTGTTAACGAGTAGTAGTAGCATAACAGATATCAAGGTTTTTTTTCAATGCTCTTTGATGTTTAGTAGTATATGTGATTGAAATAGATTAGTGATTTAAACTATCAATTTAATAGTGTCCATAATAGTCATCATTTCAGGCGACAATTCATCATTTAGAATAAATGATTCGTTTAATAACTTACGGAGCTGTACAACTTTTTCTAGATAGGTTAAATGGACATTAAGATATAGTGAAGTAACCGAATTGATAGTCAGTCAGTCAGCTACAACGTAGGACCAGGCACATATGTGCATCGGTCCAGGTTGCCATACCTCATTAGCACAGCAAGATCAACAGCGGATTCATAGGAGTGGTTAGGTCAAAGGTGGTAATATATAGGAGAAAGATTGCAATAAGGATATAGTATAGGAAGAAAGAATTAGTTCGTAGACGTGGTGGTGGTCGGGCTTCCCTATTGTGATGAAGCAACCGAGCTATACTGGCTGGAACAACCGTTCCTTAAGGTCCTACCACGTCAGAAAGGTCGGTTGATTATTATTTATTTGTTTTTTTATTTTATTTGAACACATAAATATTGGTACAAGAGAGCGCCAATATATATGCGCCACACAAAACAATGGGAATTCGAAGAGAAGTAGAAAGAAAAAAAAACTAAGGAACGCAAAAGAAAAAGAGAGTAATGACGAAGAGGTACAATCAGAAGAAATCTTTCAGTTAAGGAAGATACAACCACTTTTTATGAAGAAAGTAAAAGAAGGTTACAGCAGGATCGCCACTGGCTTCTATTCTGAGCCATATCTGATAACGTCTCTAGCCACTGTGTAGCACCATCTCTCGGACCCCAGCCAGGGAGTCGTGAAGGACCAACACAAGCCAGTCCTTTGCAGCTTTCTTTCATGCCACGACACCATCTCATGCACTGACCACCTCTCCGCTTCTTCCAACCAGTCCCAGAGTCGGCAAATAATGCACGACGTGGAATTCTCTGGGACGACATTCGTAGAACATGTCCAAGCCACCGAAGTCAGTGTTTCAAGATGGTGACACCAATTGAGTTATCATCTCTGTGCCCGAACACACGATGCCGAACCTCTGCATTACTGACATGGTGTTGCCACTGAATGTCAGCAATCCTTCGGAGACAGCGATGATCGAACACAGAGAGTCGTCTAACGTCCTCAACTCGGAGAGGCCAGGTTTCACAAGCATAGAGCAAAACTGCTCTCACCGACGCGTTGTAGATCCGACCTTTTACAGCCAGACTAACATCACGAAGGCGCCAAAGGTGGCCCAGATTGGCATAAGCCGCTCTGGCTTTCACTATTCGTGCATTGATCTCATCACTCATACCCCCACCAGCACTTATGCAGCTACCCAGATACACGAACTTCTCGACTACGTCTATCTGCTCACCATCCAGGGTGAGTACAGGATTGGAATCCTGCCAGTCTTGTAGAAGTACTTTGCACTTCGAAGGTGCAAAGCACATACCATACCTACGGACACTGATTGCCAACTGATTAAGTGCGGATTGCATGCCTTGGGCATTATCGCACAGTAAGACAATATCGTCCGCATACTCAAGGTCGAGAAGTCTTTCTCCAGGCAACAGATCCACACCACCATTACTTACATCCATCAGAGCTGTTTCCAGAATGTCATCGATGGCAAAGTTGAAGAGGAATGGTGAGATTGGGCAACCCTGCCTAACCCCACTGCTCGAATGGAACAATAGAGAGAGGTGGTTGTATGCCCTCACTCTGCCTGAGGTGTTTGTATATAGTGCTTTTAGGATGTTAATAAACTTCTCAGGCACACCCTTCTTCAATAGACAATCCCAGAGAACAGTCCTATCCAACGAATCGAAGGCAGCCCTGATGTCAAGAAACACTACGATTGTTGGCTTTTGACAAGTATGGCGGTGTTCTAACATTTGGCGGAGGGTGAAGATATGATCAATACATCCTCGACCAGAACGAAACCCAGCCTGCTTCTTGCGAGTCAATCTTTCTCGGGTATTGAACAACCTACGAAGAATGACGTAAGCCAATAGCTTGGACGCAATCGGAAGTAAACTTATCCCCCGATAGTTGCTACAAGAACGACGTGAACCCTTTTTAAAGATAGGGACAACTATCGACTCATTCCATGACGTTGGTACACTCTCTAGATCCCAAACCTTTGTAAACAACGTCGTCAATTCCTTAGTCAAAAAGTCACCACCATCTTTAAAAAGAGCCGGAGGTAAGTCATCTGGGCCAGGTGATTTGTAACGCTTCAAGAGTTGGAGTTCCTTGCGGACTTCCTCCTCATTTGGTGGATCAGTCGTCACCGGCCATGGAGGGCAGGACAGTCTGACCGATGTTACCGGAGCAGCAGGCCAGTTGAACTGCCCTTCGAAAAATTCTGCCCATCGTCCAAGACGTCGATGGATGTTAGTGATTGGCATCCCGTCATCCTCGCAGATTGTTTCACTCACACCAGACTTCTTGCTGCCAGTGGCTCGGATGAGTTGGAAGAGCTTCCGGTAGTTACCAGATGCAGCTGCTGCTTCCAGCTCATTAGCACGCATCGACCACCAGGCTTCTCGGTCCTTACGCAAGCTTTGCCCGATTTCCTTACGTAAAAACCTTCGTTTATGGTCAAACTCACGGTCACCCGGAGTAGACCGACGGGCTTCAATGAGTTGTAAGGAACCAGAAGAAACCCAGTGCTTAAAAGCGGGACGTTTCGCAAACCCACAACTGACTGTTCCCGCCATTTTCATGGCGTCATGCAATTGCAACCAATGCTCATCTATACTTTTCGGTGGAGTGGTAGCTAGCCTAGAGGCTAGCTCGGTTCGATACTTACTTGCAACAGAAGTTGCAACCAGCTTGCTAACATCAATCCGTTGATGGCGTTCACTTCGTTGTCCACTGAAAAGTAAGGCAAGATTGGCGCAGACCAGGGCATGGTCAGAGTCCAGATAGGTACTCCAAAAGGAGCCGCAGTCTTGTACACAACCACGCCAGCGGTAGCTGATCGCGATGTGATCAATCTGAGTCCAGGCTTGAGATGCAGAGGGAGGACGCCAGGTGGCACATCGGCGATGACTGTGCCGAAAGTTAGTGCTAGCCAGAAACAGGTTGTGGTCTGCGCAAAGTTGCAGTAGACGGTCCCCGTTATCTGACCTGCGACCAACGAGTCCCCATCGGCCACCTAAACGACTCTCTTCTGTGCCTAGACGCCCGACCTGAGCATTCAAGTCTCCGGCTAGTACTACAATATCTGTCGAACGCACTTTCTGGAGAAGAACTGATAACTGGTGGTAAAACTCATCCTTGATTGCATCCGGGCTGCAATCTGTCGGGGCATAGGCGGAGATGACGAAAAGACATCGTTTCTCACGCCGATTTCTTCTCACTTTGATGGAACTTTCTAATCTAACAGCACATAACCGACTGTTAATGGGGATCCAATCGACTAGTGCTGCCTCAGCTCTAGCGCTTAGTGCGACACCAACGCCAGCAAGACCAGACGAAGATGCCACAGGGTCCCCGGATAAGCGCACATAAAACAAGCTTTTCGAAGCGACAGATGGAGATCGAATTTGTAGTACTTCGTCAGAGTCTTGAATACGGGTCTCGGATAGACAACACACGTCGATATTAAGACTTTCCAAAGACATAGCCAGCCCTATCTGTTGTCCGACCTGCATAAATGTGCGAACGTTGAAGGCAGCCAGTTTGAATGGTGCACGTGGTTTCAGAAAATCTGCTTCAGTCCTCGTATTCGGTGGTAACATACAATTTTCAACCGGACAGTGACTCGAGAACGTTTAGATACAGTCGGAATTCCACCAAAGACGAGCCGCTGTATAAGTATAAAAGAAGGTGAATAATGTGGAAAATAATAATAATAATAATAATAA